CCGGTTGCAGTTCGTTGTATGTTAGTTAAAGTTTTAAATACTTCCATAACAGATAAAGTTGGTGGTACTACTGCATGATTGCTAGTGTCATGTGATAAATTAGTTGGACCAACATAATCATCATCTGTGCAGAGATTACAGAAATACCATTATATCACCCTATATTTCCTAAAGATGAATGTACAAACCATTTCAAGCCAGACTCCAGACTCCTCATCAGGTCTCCAGATGATCAGTGTTTTATCAAAGGATGCTGACAATAAGCACAGAGGCTGGGTGGATGAACTACCATCTGAAATATATATACAATCTGTATATGACATTTACTTTTATTTGAAAGAAGATTTGCATTTACAGTAAATCTTGATTTTTACAAGATCTCAGCATAGATTTATTAGGCAATTGAAACTATCCATTACTCCTTCATTGGATAGTTTGTCTCATCCAATTAAACTTGAAGAAAAACCTGAGAAGTAATATTTCAACCAATCAAAAAATTCTCCTACCATTTTTAACTGATGGCTGCCAATGAACACTGTAAACTACGTCTTCATGACCTGAGAGGACTGACTCCAACACAACTGAAAATTCAAATTCCTTACCTAATAATAAAGAAGATCCAGATTACTAAAATTCTGAAGGTATTGTCATCCATTATAATCCAAAGGTGTAGACAAATAAAAATTAAAAAGATAGGTTGACAGACAGACAGACAGAATGAATGAATTGCCTTTATTTTGCCACAGTAGAGTGAAGTCATTAAACCTGTGAAATAGATGTTAGACTAACACACTTTAGAAGACCTTAATTCCATTGTTTTCTTTTGTGTCTTTTTGAATATTACACGTTGACTAGTATTTTTAATTTCATGGGTTAAATGCCTTTGCTCTAATAACATCAACGTTAATAACATTGCTTTTTTTGAAAGCTGTGAAATAAAAAGACAGACAGACAGACAGCAGACAGATAGACAGACAGAAACAGTATTATATTATTACCATCAAATAAAACTGTAAATAAATTAGAGGTCAACTTCAATTCTCCAAGATCTTGAACAAGGTCTGGTGCAGCTACTGGAGTCTTGGTTTCCTGTGCTCGTTTTGTTTGCATTTTCTTGGAAGAAGTAATTCTCCATATTCTAATAAAATAATCTTTTGAACTGCTTGCAAGAAGAAGATCTCCAGAATCTAAAAATCAGCAGCTTTATGAGTTAATTACAGAAAGCAATGCATTTTTAAAATGTGTTTCAAAGAGTAGTGATTAAAAATCATAGGTTCCTTTTCTTTGACGTTGCACATCGGTTCACTGGTCAAACACAAAGGGCTCAAACGAGGGGCTGAACCTTGCAACCTCGACTGAATGCTTTGTGTTTGACCAGTGAACCGATGTATGGCAAGTGGCAAATGGAAAGAAAAAAGGAGATTGTAATGTGTACAGTGAGCATTTTATTTTTAAAGAGAAAATAACTTTTTTTTACGCAATCATTACAATTTCCAGAATTTTTTTCACTCTCATCCCAGAATTTCTATTTCTAGTTCTGCATCACTAAGGAGAAAGTCTACCAAAGACTATTTTCAAGTCTGATTCATATTAATATTTATAAAATATTTTAGATATAACAAGCAAGCTGATTGGCTGGGTACTGTGTTTATATTAGAGGACAGAAACAGGCTCCCTGCTACACCTCATGCTCCCAAGCTTGCTTCTCTTGTGCTCTGCAGCTCCCAAAGAATTTATATCACAGTACAGGGACATGCAGGAGATTTTAGATATTTCTTGATGAACAGTCTCTTACCTTCAAGTGCAAATTCTAATCCTCTAATCCAGTCTTCATGGCCAACTAATGTTTGTACTCTAACAAACTAAGTAGTGAAGAAAGTGATTATTAGGAATAAGGTCTTTGGAATCGTTAAAACAATATTGTCATTTTACAGGTTCCGATTTAGATGGGAGGGGTGGGGTTATCCTGTACTGACCACCTCTTGAAGTAAAATCCTGGTTAAAGTTTAAAACTTACTTCTCCATCCTTTTGTACAAATATGTATATCTTGCTATCTTCATTACCACAGGCTAAGATTGGAACTGTTGAAAATTGTATTGTTCAAATATGAATAACTTCAAACAACTTCATTGCCATACTTTAGGTAATCCTTTAATTTATATTGAAAGAACCTCTTGGCTGATCTTAATCAGGATTGGGCTAATTCACAGATCAACTTGGAATTTACCCTGTTGGGTATAATGGAGAAAAGGAAACCAATGGACCAGCCTGACAAACTTTACTTACATGAAATGCCAAGTCCTGGAATCGAACCCAAAGACCCAAGAGGTAAGATGTGAGTGCATATCCACTGGGACACCCTTAATAGTTTATAATTTAGTATTGTTATCACATATTATATTGACTCAATTTAACGCCTGGTCCCGAGAAGATGCTGGAATTGAATAAAAGTGAGTGACAAGGGTCTCCAGTTTTGAATAAACGTCTGTATAACAAGGTATAACAAGGTATAACAATTATGTACTTACCGTTTGTTTCTGGGCATAAAGACAAGTCAATTGTTACTGCAAACCCATATCCAAATGACAGAGTCTGAATACACTGAAATTCTCCTAAGAAAAAATATTACAAACCAAAAGATTGAAATGAAATCTCTTTAAACATAAGAGAAAATTTCTCTCTTATCCCATGCCTGATTCTCTCATTGAATTTGAACAATAATTCAATGTTACCAAAATAAGAGTGAATGGCTGTGAGATATGTAAGAAAAGAAGAAAAACGTCAATGACAAACTACATATAGGTGACGAGTCGCAGAGATGCAAGTGAGATCAGGTTGTAGGGACAATTTCCTTTATTTGACAGAATGATTTTTATAGTAAATTCTTGTCATCATACCAGAAGTTTGGTTCCTGCAATGGGTGGCAAGAAAGTAAATTTATACATCAGGTTGTGGGGATAAAATATTTACCTTGATCATCAGTTCTATTCCATATTTTCACAGTACTGTCAGCAGATGCTGATGCAATAATAGTTTGCTGGCTTCGATCAGGATGGTTTATTGTTACAGAAGCCACTGAATTAACTGCACTGTCATGGCCTTCCAATACTCCAAATATACACCACTGGAAATGATTATAAGTATGCATACAATGTAACAGTTTTAACATTTTTTTAATTGTTAATATAGCTGAAAAGCAATAGCACCCTTTACAGTTCCCTGACCATCTTGATAGGTAACTATGCTGGTGCATCAAAGTAAAAGTAGCGTGAATGACTTTCTCCAAGGTGTTAAAAAAGGTCACTAATATTGCAAGGTGACTGCTTGGCATCCTCCATTCAATGCACAGGCACTGTTACCTTTCAAGACAAGTACAGTGAATATTTGAATAAAATATTCCAATAAAATTTAACTCATCTCTATAAAGCAAATTTACCACTTGCATATTACAGCTGTAATTTTGGATCCTTTTATAATAAAATAAATATACAATATAAAAGGATAATATTATTACAGCTGTCACATGAAAGTGGTAAGCTTGCTTTATAGAGATAAGGAATTTATGTGCACCAACTACTCTTATTAAAACATTGTCACAATGTACAACTTTAAAGGTTGAGAAAGGTTTCAAATGTTGCATACTAAGCCTGAAATGCACTATGGGTGATGTGAATCCTAACAGCCAAAGGACACAATGGAATTGAAATTTGGAATTTCCAAAATTTTCTGAAACAATTTTTAATATGTAGCTGTACATTGTAACAAAAATGTTATCATATGCACAAACCTTATTTTCCTTGCACCTCCAGACAATAACTGTCTTGTCAGTAGACCCAGAGACTACTTCTTTTTCCAGTTCTAGAAATTACAAATTAAAACTCATTTCTATGATTATGTGACCAAGATAACTATGTTGAGTTGTCTGAGATTTTGGTTTCTGTCATTCGAATTTCCAATGCTCGGGGTTAGTAATTATCTATTGATTGATGGAAGCCAAAAATCCAGACATCTTGGGCTAAGATTGTCATTTAATAGCAGATATTATGGATGCATGCAAATGAGATGCAAATGCGATGCAAGTGAGGCAACAAGCTATCAACCCAAAAGCCTCACTTGTATGATTCTTTAACAAAAGAATAACTCACTACAGGCTCATCTGTAATAACAGCTATTATGAAAATGGGTGAAACCAAAAGTGTAAATCTCTTTACCCGCAACCATCTACATGTATCATGGATGGCAGGGCAGTGTTTTGATGGGGTGATGGGTGTACTAAGGAATGTGGGGAGGCGGTTAAAATGTTCTAAGATACAAAATACTGAGGGGGTGGGGTCAGTTTTTTTTGTCCCTCCCCCTAAAGTCTTTTATTCAATTATATAACGAATATTTTTCTAGTATCACATTCTTTTTGTTAATTCTGTCTCACCTAATCCGTTAGGTATCCATTTTACACAGTTCACCCTGTCTTTGTGTCCACTTAAAACCTTCTCTACTTTACCAGCTGAATTTGTACACTACAATAACGAAAACAGCAAAAACATTAACTACTTTTAAGGCAAAAACTGTCGTGTTTTAACATTATCATAATATAGATAACCTAAAACAAAGTGAGTTTGCAGAAAGATATTCTTGATATCTTCACTACTTTATTACTCTGGTTCCAGAGGCGCTTGGTAGCGGGGAGAAGGACGAAAACGAAGCGAGACAAGGAAAAAAAGAAAGCGCTTTCTTTTTCCCTTCTCTCTCTCCCTTTTCGCTCTTCTTCCCGTTACTACGCGCCTCGGGAACTAGGGGACTACTATTTTTGTCCACGTGCCGATTAAAAAGACCTAAATACAAAAGCTGTCTTACTTGTGGACGGTACAGCACTACGCAATTACATCCACCATATGCAACTAAACCATTTCTAGCCCAGGATAATGATGAGGGTGTTCTACTGCAAGCTATAGAGGAATATTCTAAGCCGCAACGACAGCAAGTTTTTCCTTCACCTTCGTCCGCCATGTTGAAATTCTACTTTATGGATGGTAACCGCTGACCAAACGGATAGTGGGCTTTTTCTCTGTGTTGCGCGTTTTTTTGCCATCACTCTGGATTCTCCTCTGCTTTGACGTGTTTTCCCCCTCGGCACATAATACGAAAGACTCTCTTTGTGGCATAATTGATTCAATGGGTTCGTCTCTCACCAATGCGACCCATGTCGTATGCGAGTAGAGTTGTTTGTTGGTTCTATCCTGTGCTACGAGGGTCTTTCTCTGGGCTCTCCAGTTTTCCTCCCTCCAAATAAATCATTTCTCAGGAAAGTTGGTAGTGGATGAGCTTCCATTCTGTAAAAAAGGCCACTGTTAAATCTATTTTATTTCAGTATTTTATTTAGTAGGAGAATTGATTTAACTTAATACACCGTATGGTTTGTGATGTTTAGAAACTGACGTTAGTCCTTCGTCAGAGTAAATGTGAATGTAACGAAGGACTAACGTCCGAAACGTCAGTTTCTAAACATCACAAACCATACGGTGTGTTAAGTTAAATCAATTCTCCTACTGTTCGATTCCAAACACCGACGCGGTTAACTAGTTTATCTATTTTAGTCTCTACAGTATTTTATTCAAAAGATATAACTAGCTAAAAACTAGTGTGAGCTGCGTCGGTGTTTCTAATGAAACAGTAAAAATGAAAAGGTAAATTATACACCGTGAAAAGATGAAAAAACTTACTGACGTTTCGGAC